AGAAGCAATCAACAGCAGGTAAAATGGGGGGGTACCCGACAGGAGGCCCGTCGCGCGGCAAAAAGGCAGAGTCAGCGGACGAGTCGCAGCGCGTGATGTGCGATGTAGGACGTACAATGGTACATTCTATTTAACTTGACGCGAAATCACTAGTACGCGCTGCGACTCGTCCGCTGACTCTGCCTTTTTGCCGCACGACGAGCCTCCTGTCGGGTACCCGTAAAATTAGACACCGATGAGAGCGTGTATTCAGAGTCACTTCTTTGAAAAGCGTCGCTGTGCTGTCCTTGTCAGGCTCTATCGCCTAAATCAAGTCTCGTAACCAATGTGACCTCGCACGCTCCAGATTTTGCCTCCGTCAGCGCTCTAGGTTTCCGCGGCAGAGAGCGTGATGGGAACTTCAAGAAGTCATAAGTCGCCGGTGCAGCCCAACCGGAGCACTAGAACATATCTTCCTGTGAAACGCACATCATCCCGCACCCTTAAGGGATCTGCCCCTCCTTTGAGTAGCTTCCTTCGACTTCAGATTAATCATGAACCTTCTTTTAACTAAGAGGGATGATAGCCTAAAATCAGTATAGATAAGTGCTCGGCAGCTTCTTCAATTCAATTATTATTTTTGCAAGCACGAGGGAGCGTTAGACACATGACGAAGGCTTCTGACAATAACACAAGCACAGATATTGGCTAATTCCCCTACTCTCTTAATTCAGCTCGCTTCACATCTCAGTGGCTTTCCAATCGACTATTTTAAAACATACGGTCATTGCCGCAGCGAACAAATGGTGGGACACAGGAGATACTGGCGAAGAATATTTATCGGGCATGGTATTGAAAGCAAAAACTTTTACTTAACATAATTACGCATATTTTATTTACGAACAGGATTGCCTACTAAGAACTTGTAAACAAAGGTAAGCAAAAAACCAACAAAAAAAGAAATTTTTTCAACAAGAATTGAGTAAATACATATTGACTAATCTAAGAAGCATCCTCGCTAAGACAAGCAGCACATTTCTTCATAACGTGATATACAGGCAAGAACTGCTTATTGAAGTCTACCCAATGGTCTGTTCTATTTCGAAGTTGACATTTGCAGGTTCACCAGCTCACAGCACCGCAGCAGCTCACCACCAAACTAGTCTCATTCAAATAAACTTCATGGAATGACCATGAGATGGAATCGGTGCTAAAAAGTGATATATAGTGTGCTGTGGAAATCAGAGCATAACAATCGAAAGTGTTGGAAGGTGACTAAGACTAATAACTTCAAAAATCCACACGGGGAACCATAAAAGAAAACATAAATTGCAGAAACGCATTCCATACATTTTTAGGCTTCAATTATTTCCCCTAGACTCCTGCAAGATCCCAATATGTTTTGGACTAATAAAAATAGAACTGTAATGTTAAGGCAACTGCAAAACTACGGAAACGCCTTTTTAGATGGTGAAATAGAATGAAACATTTCAGAAAACTTATGACGTACCTGACAAGACCCCTTCCTGCATAGTACCCGTGTTAAATGTTTATCAAAACTACCATAATACGTTCCACCAGAGATCTTTTACGTGGCCGTTCACTACCTGCAACTCTGAAAATCACAGCTATATGCACATTTCCAACTTCCTAAAACAAACGGACCACCAGTTAAAAAAATCACCATCAGACAGATTTCTCGCGCCACTCTTCTTCGTCGCAGTCGAGAGCCTCTTTTTTGGGAGCCTCTTTCTTAGCGCTGCGTTTTTTACCCTGTAACTTTATTTACTTTGAAGCAAATATTACAGGATGTTTGTATTTTACCTTCGGAGCGCTGGGTGTGTCGCAATCCTGAGAGAATCTCGACATTATTGCTGCCCGTACACAAGCGGGCAACTCGAAAGGTTCCCGCATTCCCATAGGACCGTATGCCCACAAGATGAATGACCGGTAGGAATAATAACGAAAAACCCTAAACGCGAATGAGAGCACAAATACAACAAAAAAAAACTGCGAAAATACATAGTAGCAACGAGAAACTAACATGTATTGATCTTCGCGAATCCTCCTCCTTTTTTCTCCAAGTCTAGCCTCCTTTATCTTAGCGGAAAGTACCTAAGAAAACCAATAAAAAGCATTCGAAAATGAACCAATCAATGTGCACAAACCAACCTCTTCGCTCAGCACCTCTTTTTCGAAAGATGGGTGCTGAACAATACAACGTTTACAGTCTTTCAGCTTCTCCTTCAATCCTTCAACTGCGTCTTGTTGTCCGAAACAGGTTGGCCGTTCTACTTTGGTTTTCAAAACTTCGCGGCAGCATAAATTTTCGTGTACTGTTTTGAAGGCCTTACACGAACCACAAAGACACCATTTCGTATTCCTAATCCTAGCCAGTGGTATATCCCGACCAAGAAGAAGGCAGAAACTGAATAACAAGTACAAGTCAGAACATTAGCTTGAAACACTTGAGCAAAAACTCTAACCTCACACTTTGTTCAGCCTTTTTTCGCGCTGCATTCTCTTTTTTCCTCTCGACCACCAACTCATACTGACCAGGATCAGGATATCCGAGCGTGACTGGGCATGCAAGACCTTTACTTTTCGTGGCCATTTCTCTAGATGATAACGTAAGATCGTTATTTTGATCAAGCATGCTTCGCATGTTAACCATGAAACGCTATCGCAAGGCACGGAAGCATTCTATAGGACTAAGCCTAAGAGGAGACAGGAACTTCGGGGAAATAAAATTTTCCACGCACCCTGAAATCTTTTTTTCGCCTAAAGTTTAGTACTGTCTGAAAAAGATGTTTGAAGCGGTTTCAAATCCATTGCCACCACAATGCCTTCATATCTTGTGGTAGCGCTCATGAATCTTTCAATGAAGAACAAGTGGAAGAGGGCGTAGATTTGTTATGCATTCTTTGCAAACAAATTGTACTGCTAACAGCATGAACAACCAACACCTGAACGTGTTAACAAGAATGCCCAAGGTTCAGAAAGGAAGAACAAGAAAAAATAAAAGAAGCAAATAGAAGACAACATCAATCTCGCTTGAACCTTTAAGGCCCTGTTCAGAGATGTCCGCCGGCGCGAAAAAACGCACAGGCGAAAATCTCCGCCAAGATTTAGATACGCATCGACTGAGAAATTGTGAAACGCGTAAGCGAAACGTCCGGAGCAGGCGAATTTCAGTCAAGAGTTTGATATGTATCGACTGTGAGAAACGCACAGGCGGAAAATCGCGTGAGCGAAGCGTTCGTAAGTCGATGCGTATGATACTCATTTTCGTCGATCCTCCCACTTCACGATTCGCCTGTGCGTCTTCGTTCAGTCGATACATATTTCACATTGTTTCGCCTATGCGTTTTTTCGCGCAAGCGGACATCTCTGAACAGGGCCTAAACGGTTATTA